CTTGAAAGTGGATTCTTTCCCAGAGCCTCCAAATGAGAGTCCAGCCCAGCTGACCCCTTGATTTCAGCCTGGTATACCTGAGGAGAGAACCCAGCTGAGCCCACATCTAACCTACAGAACTGAGATGATCAGTGGTTGTAATTTGTTATGACAGCCAGAGGAAACTGTTACAGCCCCATCCCAACCTCGTATCTTAGACAAAAATCACATCCAGGTGGATTGTAGATTGAAATGTGAAAGGTAAACCAAAAAGCTTTTAGAAGAAAACATAGAAACATATTCTTATGACTTCATGAACATGACACAAATAATTGGAGAAGCTGGACTATAGGAAAAAGAACGCTGCATCAGGATTGGAGGAAGACTCATTAACAACCTGCAGTACACAATTGAAACCACCTTGCTTGCTGAAAGGGAAGAGGACTTGAAGAAGCACTTACCGATGAAGATCAGACTACAGCCTTCAGTATGGATTACACCTCAACATAAAGAAAACAGAAATCCTCATAACTGGACCAGTAAGCAACATCATGATAAATGGAGAAAACATTAAAGTTGTCAAGGATTTCATTTTGCTTGGATCCACAATCAACGCCCATGGAAGCAGCAGTCAAGAAATCAAATGACATATTGAATTGGGAAAATCTGCTGCAAAGGACCTCTTTAAAGTGTTGAAAAGCAAAGATGTCACTTTGAGGACTATGGTGTGCCTGACCCAAGCCTTGGTATTTTTAGTCGCCTTATACACTTGTGAAAGCTGGACAATGAATAAGGAAGACCGAAGAAGAATTGATGCCTTGAATTATGGTATTGGCAAAGAATATTGAATATACCATGGATTGCCAGAAGAACGAACAAACCTGTCTTGGAAGAAGTACAACCAGAATGCTTGTTAGAAGCAAGGATGGCAAGACTTTGTCTCACATACTTTGGACATGTTATCAGGAGGGATCAATCCCAGAGAAGGACATCATGCTTGGTAAAGAAGAGAATCAGTGAAAGAAAGGAAGACCCTCAACAAGATGGATTGACACAGTGGCTGCAATGATGGGCTAAAGCATAGCAGTGATTGTGAGGATGGCTCAGGACTGGGCAGTGTTTTGTTCTGTTGTACACAGAGTTGCTGTAAGTCGGAACTGACTTGACAGCACCTAACAACAACAACGTGTGTATAATTAAATTTTTTTTAACAGAATTGGGATCGATAGTATAAGGTTCCAATTTGTTACATTTTCACTTGATATCATGTTGTAAACATTTTTCTATATTATTGAATATTCTTTGAAAACTCCAATTTTAACAACAGCAAAGTAGTCCATTGTCGGGATGTATTACAATTTATGTGACAGTTTTTCTGTTTATGGACATTTTGGTTAGCATTTTTTTTTCTATCTTAAACTGTCTTGCTGGGAAATAATTTTTTCCCAATATCTTCTTATTTCCTTGGGACAGTAAATAAATAATTTTTTTTAATAAGGATTACTACAAAGCTGGTTCGTGTGAGGCAGAGGTTACAGGTGTCCAAAATGTCCAGCTTTTCCAAACTGCTGTATCACTCCGTCATCTCTAACACCAACTACTCCCCCTCCCCTCAGTACTCTCCCTCCGTCTTTGGATTTGGTAATTCACTGCAACGTCTCACAGAACTCAAGAACCGTTCTTACAGTTAAGTGGTTTATTAGGGAAGTAACGGTACAACTCGGGATTGGGATCAACTTGGAGGTAACAGGAACAACTCAGGATGCAGTAGCTTGATCAGGACAGCGCCTTCTCACCCTTTGCCACCGGGCCCTGCTGCGGGCCTTCTCAGGCAAGTGTTACACCTCTTGACTCTGTGGATATGCAAGCCCCCCACCGCAGCCATCTTGTACCACCATCTCTCTCTGTCTTCTGTGTTATAGCTCCTCTCTCCGTGTCTCCCTTTAAGCCTGGCAAGATGGCAAAACTGACCAATTCCCTCGTTAGGGTTCCATATACCTTATTTGCATGGTCCCACCCCCACAAGGGTGCCATGCACCTTATTTACATTATTGGCAAGCTATCCAATCCCCTTGGTGGGCCATAAGCACCTCATTTGCATAGTCCCACCCAGTTGTTTGGTGGGAGTTACAAAGACTATGGCTAGAAGGGCCATATTAAGTAATTCACTGCACCCAAGACAGTTTTCTGGGAATGTATTTACTGGGTCATAGGGTGTGAGGTTTTTAAAGATTCCTGATGTTTAGTGCCAGATTGCTTCTTAGAAAGGTTGAACATTATAATTGGTTAAAAAAAAATTCTAACTTAGAAGGCCATAAAAATGACATCTCTTGGTTTGATATTCATTTCTTTAATTATTAGTGAAGTTGAACATCTTTCCTGTGTTTGTTGATCATTAATATCCTTCTACTCTGAGTTATCTTTTATTTTGCCCAGTGTGGAATTGGGGTTTTGGCATGGTTCATATCAGTGTGTAAAAGCTGTTTACATATTAAGGATATCAATCTGTGGCTGTCATATTTGTTACACATATTTTTCCCCAGCTTATTATTTGCCTTTAAATTTTGGCAAACTATTTTTTAAAGGACAGAATCTTTTGTTGTTGTTGTTGTTAGGTGCCATTGAGTTGGTTCTGTCTCATAGCAGCCCTAAGTACAACAGAACGAAACACTGCCCACTCCTGTGCCATCCTCACAATTGTTATGCTTGAGCCAATTGTTGCAGCTACTGTGTCAATCCATCTCATTGAGGGCCTTCCTCTTTTTTGCTGACTCTACTTTACCAAGCACGATGTCCTTCTCCAGGGAGTGATTCCTCCTGATAACCTGTTCAAAGTATGTGAGTTGTAGTCTTGCCATCCTTGCTTCTAAGGGGCATGCTGGCTGTATTTCTTCCAAGACACATTTGTTCATTCTTTTGGCGGTTCATGGTATAGTCAATATTCTTTGCCAACAACATAATTCAAAGGTGTCATTTCTTCTTTGGTCTTCCTTATCCATTATCCACCTTTCACATACATATGAGGCAATTGAAAACACCATGGCTTGGATTCAGGCGCACCTTAGTTTTCAAGGTGACATCTTTGCTTTTTAACACTTCAAATAGGTCTTTTGCAGCAGATTTGCCCAATGCAACGTGTCGTTTGATTTCCCGACAGCTGCTTCCATGGGCATCGATTATAGATCCAAGTAAAATGAAATCCTTTACAACTTCATTGTTTTCTCCATTTATCATGATGTTGCTTCTTGTTTTCTTTATGTTGAGGTGTAATCCACACTGAAGACTGTAGTCTTTCGTCTTCATCAGTAAGTGCTTCAAGTCCTCTTCACTTTCAGCAAGCAAGGTTATGTCATGGGCATCTCGCAGGTTGTTAATGAGTCTTCCTCCAATCCTGATGCTGCATTCTTCTTCATATAGTCCACCTTCTCAGATTATTTGCTCAGCATACAGATTGGACAAGTATGGTGAAAGGATACCATCCTGACACACCCCTTTCCTGACTTTAAACCATGCAGTGTCCCCTTGTTCTGTTTGAACGACTGCCTCTTGGTCTAAGTACAGGTTCCTTATGGGCACAATTAAGTGTTCTGGAATTCCCTTTCTTCACAATGTTATCCATAATTTGTCATGATCCACACAGTTGAACGCCTTTGCATAGTCAGTAAGACACAGGTAAACATCTTTCTGATATTCTCTGCTTTCAGCCAAGATCCGTCTGACATCAGCAATGATATCCCTTGTCCCACGGCCTCTTCTGAATCCACCTTGAATTTCTGGCAGTTCTCTGTCGATGTACTGCTGCAACCACTTTTGAATGATCTTCAGCAAAATTTTACTTGTGTGTGATATTAATGATATTGTTTGATAATTTGCAGCATCTTTTTTATGTAATACTAATAACTGCCATTTATTAAATACGTACCCATGCTGGGCACTGAACAAAACTTTATACATGGGTTGTCTCCTTTAATCTCTGCCATTGCCTCAATAGACTGCAGCATTTCCCCATACTGTGGATGAGGTTCAAGATCACCTAGCTAGTAAATGAATGAATTAGGTATATGAATGAATGAACAAACTCATGATGATGCCATGATTTTGAATTATGCTTGCTTTGTCAAAGAAGAGCTTTTAAGCTGAACAATTAACCTTATTATATCTTTAGTGTTTTGAATAGGCAATACATTCATTGAAAAAATATATAAAGGAATGCTGTGAAAAGTCTCTCCCCCACTGCTGTTCCCATCCACCTCCTTTTCTCACTTTATTCTTACCTCCGTCCAGGTACGCATCTTAATAGTGTCTTATATATGCTTCCATGCTTTCTGTGTGCAGATACAAGTAAGGATGAATGTCTATCCTTATCTCCTCCCCTCCTCTTATTTTATACGAAGGGTTAAAATCAGTCCATTTAGACTATTTGCTTTGCATGTGTAAGACTTGGCTACCTCTTTGGTGCAAAGTACACCACAAAGTGGATCTCTGATTGAATTAATTTTATCTTCCATCTTGGAGGGATTCTTCATGCAGATAGTTCAATTTGTTTAGATGGTAATTTTGAATTGAAATTGATTTGGGGCCAAACTCCAGCACTGCCAAGTCTTATGTAACCAACAGAAGCTGAGCTTTCAAACAGCTGCCATATGTTGTCAGGAATAAGGCCAGAGGACCAACGCAGATAGTTCTCAAGAAACAAGTTGTCGCTTTCCAAGTCTCTGGGAATATGTATTAACTCCAGGTTATTACGTGAGAGATACCTTCTTACGAAAACACCCCCTTTCCCCTTCCTAGTGAGAGCATTTAGTAGACTAGTTCATTTAAGGTGCTTTCTGGAATGGTTTTGTTTACTGCTCCTTGAGGTTGAAGCTCTGGGTGACTCCAGAGACCTACATGGGGGACAAGGCTGGCAGAAGTGTTTGCGTTTCCATGGAGTAAGATGTACAGAGAGGATCTGGGGCCCCTCTCGGAGCCACTTCCCTGGAGCTTGCTGATTTTGTTTTGCCGTTATTTTTCCCTCGTAGGTACTGGCGGAGGACTTTGGGCATGCAGGTCCGCTATGTCCACCACGAAGACTATCAGTTCTGTTATTCCTTCCGTGGCAGACCTGGGCACAAACCCACCATCCTCATGCTCCATGGATTCTCTGCACACAAAGATATGTGGCTCAGCGTGGTCAAGGTGGGGTTCTAGATTCTTCTCTCACAAGGGGGTGTCTGTCACTCAGTAAAGGGTTTCCACTTGGACCTGATGTCATCAGAAATGGTAGAAAGCAGAGGGAACCCCGAACTGTGGGTCAAGTCATCTTACTTACAGACTAACCCAATGTACTGTTCACATTTGTCAGACAAAAGTTTACTGGGTTGAATATTATTCATCAAATCTGTGCCTTAGAAATGATTTCACCTTAGAGAGGGTTTCTGACACTCTGCTTCATGTCAGAGCTGCCCAGGTTATTAAGATAAGGCTTGAAAAAATAATTTGTTCCTTTATACTCCAAGTTCCTCCTCTTTCTTCCCCTCCTTCTCCTTCCTTTTCCTTCTTCTACTTTTGCTTCTTCTTTTTCACTTTTTTTTTTTTTTTTAAGATATGTAGAGAAATGGCCTTGATCTAGCAGCTTTCTGGGACAGTTTCCCAAATCACTCACTTTTTGTCCAGGTTTACTTGAGTGTGGCTCCTTGTTTGACTTGGTGAGAGTAACTGGTTCGTGACGCCAGGGCTGGGAGAGGTCTTGGGAGGGCAGCACCCCAGGCCCCCACCTCAAGCAGAACTACCCAAATGCTCCCAAGTAACTGTCTACACCAGGAGGAAGGGCTCACACATCTCTACTTACCTGTGTTCTTATTTCCAAATTTCACTATGAGGACAGTCATCCGCATGTGTTCATGAGCCTCTTGCTTCCTGACCCCACCTCAGATAAGCATCCTTTATATAACTGGATATTTGTTTGTTGATAACTGGTTTTTCTCAGTTTCCTGGTTGAAAGTGGTATATACGTAAATGGAAGAAGGTGGAAGTTGTTTTAGGAAAATAATCACCCCGGCATTAGACCTTAATGCAAAAAAAAAGTCACTGAAACCAGAATTGGGGTGATCAGACATGGTTCTTAGGGAAAGCATGGTGGAGCTGGCCAGGGCTCTGGGGAACAGAACCCCTTCTAGTTCCAAGTCGGTGGCTGCCTGACTGGAGTAAGTGTGGACAGGGTGCAAGAAAGGAGGAGGGTCTGTGCTCCCTCTGAGGCTTCTGGCAATGCTCATTCACATCAGATGTTACTGGGGTAAAACCAAGTGGCCCAGGCTCACACATCCCCAGGGATGGCTGTCTGGGTCCTCTAGGAAAGAGGGCAGACATGTTCTGCAAGCCACATACTGACTCTGGGGCCGTGTGTCCTCAGTTCCTTCCGAAGAACCTGCACTTGGTCTGCGTGGACATGCCAGGACACGAGGGGACCACCCGCTCCTCCCTGGATGACTTGTCCATAGACGGGCAAGTCAAGAGGATACACCAGGTAAGCAGGAGGCGGGACCAAAACTGCCCAGACTGAGTCCTACCCGCCATTGCATGCCCAAGTCTGGAGAGCAGGCAAGAAGGTTTCATGGTGAGCTTCTAACCCATTCTGTCTGCAAGTAATTGCAAACAAAGTAGCAACCAGATAGTAGTCCCGGTCAGCTGTGGCCGGCCAAGGCTTATTGCAGATGTCCTCCTCTAAGCCTATTGTAGCTGTTTCTGAAGAAATACAATCTGGGTATTTTCTCAGCTCTTTGAAAAAGGAGTTTGGAATTTGTCAAGGCCATTTCCTTCCCTGGGGGTCTATTTTTCTGCTTATTTGTTGTGTGATGACAGCAATAGCCTCTCTGCCTGGTTGGGGAGGATCGGGGGAGTGCTCCCTGCATTTTGTCCTATTTTAGCATCTGTCTTCAGCATCTCCGGCTAGGCATTGCAGGCCATAGAGGCTCATGAGCCATTTCAGAATTTATTAGCCTATAAGTTTCAGACTGACATTAATTTTTTTGTTTTTTGTTTTCCCCAGATGAGGATATTTATTTAATATCTGCCTCTCCCTTAAACTGTGTATTCTAATGAGGTCAGGAACCCTGTTTCTTTGGCTCTTTGCTGTATTCTCAGCACATGGCCATAGTTCCTGGTACATAATAGATATCTGATAAATATTTTTTAGGTGGTTAGATGATCTGATGGCTGACTGGATGGATGGATGGATGGATGGATGGATGGATGGATGGATGGATGGATGGATGGATGGATGGATGGATGGGAGGCAGGGAGGGCTTTAAATTAGGCCAGTAGTCAGCAAACTATTGCCTCTGGGCCAAATTTGGCCTGCCACCTGTTTTTGTAAACCAACTTCTTTTGGAACAAAGCCACGTTCCTTCATTTATGTATTGTCTTTGGCTGCTTTTGTGCTACAACAGCAGAGTCGAGCAGTCGCAACAGAGATTATATGGTACACAAAGAGAAAATACTTACTCTCTGGACCTTTATTAAAAAAAAGTTTGCTGACTCATGAATTAGGAGAGTCCTTGTTTACTTATAAATGACCCCTCAATAACTTGTGCCAGGTAAAGAGAAATACTCGTCTTAAAACGGATCCAGTAGAGTTTGAGACCGTTTCCTCAATAGCCCTTTTTGATTGTCCCCATAGGAAGTACAGTTTTCTGCTCCGTGATTGTCATTGTCTACAGCTGTATAACCAAGCCGCCCTCTCATCTCCCTTCCTAGTTTGTAGAGTGTCTCAAGCTGAACAAAAAACCCTTCCATCTGGTAGGCACCTCCATGGGTGGCCATGTGGCTGGGGTGTACGCTGCTTACTACCCGTCGGATATCTGCAGCCTGTCCCTTGTGTGCCCCGCTGGTAAGTTACAGGCTGAAGTATCCCTGTGAGGGACTTGAGCACAGCAGGATTGGGAACTCTGAAGAAACAAGTGGCCAGTGTCTGCTATGACTGTTTCCTCAGCAGCATCTTTTTAATGAGTGCTGTTATGGATTGAATTGTGTCCTCCAAAAATGTGTGTCAACTTGGCTAGGCCACGATTCCCAGTATTGTGTGATTATCCTCCAGTTTGTCATCTGATGTGATTTTCCTATGTGTTGTAAATCCTGCCTCTATGGTGTTAATGAGGCAGGATTAGAGGCGGTTATGTTAATGAGGCAGGACTCAGAGATTAGGTTGTGTCTTCAGTCAATCTCTTTTGAGATATAAAAGAGAGAAGTGAGCGCAGAGACAAGGGACCTCATATCACCAAGAAAGCAATGCTGGGAGCAGAGTGCGTCCTTTGGACCCAGGGTTCCTGTGCTGAGAAGCTCCTAGACCAAGGGAAGATTGATGATAAGGACCTTCCCCCAGAACTGACAGAGAGAGAGAAAGCCTTCCCCTGGAGCTGGCGCCCTAAATTTGGACTTCTAGCCTCCTAAACTGTGAGAGAATAAATTTCTCTTTGTTAAAACCATCCACTTCTGGTATTTCTATTATAGCAGCACTAAATGACTAAGACAAGTGCCTTAGAGATATGCAGTGTTTTAGTGATAACTCTAACCAAACAGTAGCTATAGAACAATAATCATACCATACTGAATGTCTTAGTTATCCAGTACTGCTATAACAGAAGTACCACAAATGGATGGATCATGGAATCTGCCCATGGCATTGTGAAAGCCATACACGATACCCCATATTAGATCCAAAGGGTTGCTGGATAGAGAGATTCATAAGGTGTGGATTTCTGCAGCATAGCCAGTATTATTATTATTATTATTTGTAGTTCAAGTGAAAGTTTACAATTCAAGTTAGTCTCTCATATAAAAATTTATACATACATTGTTATGTGACCCTAGTTGCTCTCCCTGTACTATGACAGCACACTCCTCCTTTCCACCCCTGATTTCCCGTGTCCATTAACCAGCTCCTAACCCTCTCTGCCTTCTCATCTCATCTCCGGACAGAAGCTGCCCATTGAGTCTCATGTATCTACTTGAGCTAAGAAGCATGCTCTTCACGAGTATCATTTCATGTCCCACAGTCCAGTCCAATCTTTGTCTGAAGAGTTTAGCCAGTATTATTGACACCACTGCATTTCTTTCTAAAATCTAGCTTTTGGACTAAGTTTGACACCTAGAAATTTGCTCAGTCATGGCAGTGAGAATAGTTTTGCACTCCTCTGTAGCATCAGCTTCCGTAGACCATCTCGTGTCATGCTGCAGGGTGATGGGAAATAACAGTCAGTCTCAGAGATCTGCTCTCAGCAGCAGCCTGCTACTCTCCTGAGAAAAGGGCCTGTGTAGAGGGCAGGGGTGCTGCTGCCCTGACGTGGGGACAGCTCAGGAGAGGACTCCCACTCTCCCCGTGCTTTGTGTCTTGTCCCCAAAGGAAGAGATTACAAGGAAGGGGTCCAGGCCAATGGCAGGGGTAGTAAATCACTGCAGGATTTTTTTTTCTTTTCCTTTCCTTCATGCATTTTATCCAGTCTCCCAAAGACACAGATGTGAAATGGGCTTAAGCAAGTTGTCTTCTAGATTGTTGTGTGCCACGGAGTCAACTCATAGCGATCCCATGTGGCAGAGTAGAACTGCTCCGTAGAGCTTTTCTAATCTTTACAGGAGCAGATCTCCAGGTCTTTCTCCCATGGATCCACTGACGGGGCAGGTTCGAACTGCCATCCTTTCAGTTAGCAGCCGAGCGCTTAACTGTTGTGTCACCAGGGCTCCTCATCTTCTGACTAGTGCTTCATAAAACTCTAATGGGCATAGGATGCCTCTGACAACTTGTTAAGATGCAGATGCGAGAACTCAGGGAGGAGCTGAGATTCTGCATGTCTCGGGAGCTCCCATGCGATGCCAGTGCTGCTGGCCCGTGGACCGCAGTTTGAGTAACGAGGCTTGAAGACATCTGTAAGGATTTTTCTCTCTGTTTCCCAGAGTGTGGCTTGATATTGAGTTAAGAATGCAGTATCAATTTTTTTTTTAAATCTAGTGCTGGGGAAAAAAAAATCTGTTGGTGAAAGAAACCTGAAATATATTAGCTCTGGGCAGATCTTAGAAGTTCACTACAGAAATGGGAATGTACATAAATAACATGTGTATTGCCAGGCTGTATTGCCAAGCTGTTTTGGTTTGAATCCCACAGGCCTGCAGTACTCAAGTGATAATCAGTTTGTACAGCGGCTCAAAGAACTGCAGGACTCGGCCGCCATAGAGAAGATTCCGTTGATCCCATCCACCCCAGAGGAGATGAGTGAAATGCTCCAGCTCTGCTCCTATGTCCGCTTCAAGGTGCCCCAGCAGGTAACGCGGTCTCGGCAGCAATGAGCCTGCCCTTGGCCACAAGCTAGGCAGCCTGGCTCTGGTGGTGAGGACCAGCTTCATTCATTCTGTCGTTTATCTACTCATTGGCTCCTTCATGTGCTCATTCATTCATTCACTCAACGAGTATCCATATAGTGTCTATGACGTGTCAGGCACTGCATGGGCGCAGGGGTGAATAAATGAGACAGAAGGTCCCCAGAAAGACAGTTCACACAGTTAACTAGTAAACAAACCATTACAAATCGTAATAACTTTACTGAGGAAATGAAGAGGGTGCAGTGGTTGAAAATGGGGGTGTGGGAAGCTTTGATAAGCCTCTTTGAGAAGCAGCATGTGCAGGGGTGGAAAACACAGGCAAGCTCAAGGTGCTGGAAGGAGGCCGGGATGGCTGGAGCCTGGAGGGCAAGGGGAGAGTGGGCTGAGATGGGGCTGGAAAGCGAGGCAGGGTGAGATCAGAGGTTCTCATTTTTTCTATGTCAGGATTATTTTACATTCTTAAAAAGAATTGGGGACCCCAAAGAACTTTTGTTTATATCAATAGATGTAGTTGATATTTACCATGTTAGACATTAAAACTGAGAAAAATTTAAAACACAAGAATATACACAAGCACTCATTCCATTAGCTATCAGAATGATGCATTATCCCGTGTTAACGTAAGCTTGGGACAATGGCATGCTTGAGAAAGAAAGAAAGTAAAAGAGGCAAATAACACTTAGGATTATTATGAAAATAGTTTTGACCTCATGGACTCCCTGGTAGGGCCTCAGGGAGAAGAAAGAACCACTTTGAGAAGCACTGGCCTGGATTGTATAAAGCCTTAAAGGTTATGGGAAGGAGTCTGGGTGTTTTCTAAGCACAATAGAACCACTGAAGAGCTGTAGGGAGCAAAAGCGGAAGCAGAGAAACCCACTAAGATTCTCTTGTGACTTGGAGGTGATAGTGGCTTAGACGAGGGTGGTGGCAGTGGAGATGAGAAGGAAACAGATCTGAGATGCTGTGGGAGGAAGAATGGACAGGACTTACTGGCAAATTGGAAGTAGGGGGTAAGGGAAAATGAGGAGTCTCAGGTGATTTCTGGTACTTGAGTAACTGAGGGGTTGAAGGCTAAGGGAAAGGCAAGAGAGGGTGGGTTTGGGCCACCTCCATTTTGAGTGTGCTAGGTTCAAGTTTCTGTGAGGCGTCTAAGTGGAGACGTCAAGTAGGTAGTTGTATATACAAGCGGAGCTGAGAGAAGTCTGGCCTGGAGGTATACGATTAGCACCATCAGCAGACAGGTATTGACAGTCATGGGTCTGAATGAGGTAATCTAGGGAAGGGGTGTGGAGAGCCAAGAAAAGAGAGTCCATGGCAGAGGCCTCGTTACACCGCATTGTCTCTCTTTATTGTAAGAACAAAGAGCCCTGGTGGTGCAATGGTTAAGCGCTCGGCTTCTAACCAAAAGGTCTGCAGTTCTAACCCACCAGCCTCTCTGTGGGAGAAAAGACCTGGAAGTCTGTTCCCATGAAGATTACAGCCTAGGAAACTCGATGGGGCAGTTCTGCTCTGTCCTGCAGAGTCGCTGTGAGTTGGGATAGACTCAGTGGCATACAACAACAACACTGTACAAATTAGGAGCCCCAGGGTGGTGCACACAGTTAAGCGCTTGACCACTAACCTAAAGGTTGGCTGTTTGAATCCACCCAGAGGTGCACTGGAAGAAAGGCCTAGTGATCTGCTTCCAAAAGGTCACAGTCATGAAAGCCCTGTGGAGCACAGCTCTCTGACACGGGGGGTCTCCATGAGTCGGAATTGATTGAGCGGTCTGCTGGTTTGGTTTCTACATTGTAGGAATTGGGCTCTGCCCCAGGGTGTGGGGCGGTTCCTCCCAGGAGTTGAGAGAATGGGCTCTATTCAGAAGGTGGGAACACAACCCAGTTCATGGGTGTGGCTTGTTTCAGAGGAAGCACCAGGAATCTGATTCGTTGGTGTCAAATGAAAAAAAAAAGACAAAAAACAATCCCATACTTTGATAGGGAGACGCTTTATCCAGAAAGAAAAGGGACTATTGTAGCAGTGGGGGAGGGAACAACTACAATAAGGAGAACACTCAGACCATAAGATCTCCAAGCGTTAGGGAAAAAGCATTTTCTTTATAGAGACTGAGCGCAGACACAGCTAGAAGAAACCCAGGTGTGGAGGAGTAGCATGAAAGGCTGACATCATCAGATAGGAAATCAGAATGTACAAGCAGTGCCCGGATTACGAATGAGTTCCCTTCCCAAGTCTGTCTTTAAGTCTAATTTGTACCTAAGTCGGAACAGTTAGGTATGGTTCATATCTAATGTCAGTCAAATGTTTGTCTTAGTATATTACTACAGTGTACCTTTCTGTGCATAAAACATTAAAGAAACACTTCCTGATACACTAAAACATCTTTAATATAATAACACAGTAATAATAATGTTTTACGGGTTTGCAAAGTAGCGCCCGTTTGTTATTACGAACCACTGTATATACCTGAGATTTTTAATATGATAGGCTTTATGGTGGTTGGTTCATAACTATAGGCCGTACGTAAGTCGGACATACCTAACCCAGGGACTACCTTACAATAAAACCGGTGAAAGCCGGAACCTGTGTAAGGTGGAAACCTGTCAGAGAAGGCAGAAAACTTTCAAGAACTGGAAAAACAAGGCAGTCACGTTGAGTTCTGGCTCTCACAGGTTTCACTGTACATGCTGAGGTCAGCCTGTTCCCTGGAAAGGGCCCTCAAAGAGGGGTAGTATGCTGGCTCAAGCTGAGGGTGGCCCAGAGTGCAGGGACTCGGGGGAAAGAGAGAAGCTTAATCCAAGTTTCATTAACAAGCACTTTGTTTCTGATTGATCATTGGGGACAAGCAATTCAGTTACTCATTTATGAGGCAAAGAATGGGAATTTGGGCAGTCTATGTCTGGCCTTGTCATAAGCAAGCAAGGGGGCACCTGTGAGTCTTATCATCTAAGACTTATGGGAAGGACAGCTATTTGCAGCAGGCCATTTTCCTGAACACAGAGGGTGGGAGGATTTCTTTAACCATCACTATTTTCCAGTTTCACAAGGTTGAGGTACAGTTCGACATCAACAGTGGTATTAGCTATCCCTGAATCCCCTGCGTTCCTTTGTAGTGGTGAAGTTGAAACATTGCCTCACAGCTACTGTCCCTTCCCAGGATACAGCAACCAAACTAATGTTCTGAGTTGTCAGGGATATGCAACCACTGAGAGAAAATAAATGGCAGCTCCAGAAGCCTTTCCCTCCTAGAAGAGAAGATGCCTTTGAGCACTTAGCCCACAGTGTCATGTTGTGTTGTGACTGTCTGTTTGTCTGTGTCCTCCACTCTAAGCTCTGTAAGTTCATGGTCTTTGTCTTAATTCACTGTTCTACCCCAGGCTCTAGTACAGTGCTTGCATGATGTAGGTCCTAGGTATAGACTGGATGGATGGGTGGGTGGATGGGTGGGTGCGTGGGTGGGAGGATGCCTGGATTATGCAGGGATGGAGAATGCACGGCTGGGTACATGCAGGATAGATAGATACATGAATTGATGCATTTGCATGCATATATGATTCAGGCATGTGGGATGGATGGGAGGCTGAATGGTTGGTTTTGTGGTTGAGTGAATGCCTAGATAATGCAGGGATGAGAATGGATAGCTGGGTGGAGGATAGATGGATGGATTGATGCAGGGACATGCATAGGTGATTCAGGGTTACAGAATATATAGATGGATAGATAGGTGGGTAGATAGATGGATGAATAAATGGGTGGATGAACAAACAAAATGTCTGATGCTGAGCAGAATCAAGGTCAACAACTTGCCACTGGTATCACCTCTAGGCTTCTACTTCCAGACTAGTCAGATTCTAATCAAACTCCAAGGGGTTGGTTTATCCCAAAGCAGCCATGGCTGGGTCTTCCCCACCTCAGTCAATGGGCGGGACTCCGGGTGGAGTGCATTTGAGGGGTCATCTTCCCAGGTGGATGAGAGGACTGGTGGTTGCTTCTATGAACCCTGCAATCTATGTCAAGAATCCTGAGGAGAGAGGAAGAGGAGGACGGTGTTCCTTCAGGCCACAGCCGCCTCTCAGGGTCAGTAGCCCCAGGCCCAGGAGATCTGGCCTGTCCGTGTTTGCTGCAGCCTTCACCAGCCTCAGCAGGGAAGGCAGAGCCCATGTCAGATGATAAACAAAGGACTACAGAGCCCTTTCCAGAATGTTCCCAGTAGTTTATTTCTTCATTCTTTAAGAGGCCCTCCATCCCCAGTGGTTTAATTTGTACTTTTAATAGGCCTTGCTCTGCATTTGGCTATTACTGAATAATGACTTGATATTATTTTCATCCAAATTGTGTTTTCGGCTAAGCAGCGAATTTCTCAAGGTAAAGCGGCTGTTAGGCCATTTCGGGTGTTTTCTACGTGCTGCAGGGAGATCTGTGGCTTCCTAATATTACCCAAACTCCTCCCTAATTTAAAAAAAAAGAAAAAAGGCGTCTTAGGATCCTAACTCCCAATTACATTGTATAATTAAAAAAAAAGTAATTGCCATTAAGTTGCCTCCGATTCATGTGTCAGAATAGAACTGTGCTCCAAGGGTCTTCAGTGACTGATTTTTTAGAAGTAGATCACCAGCCCTTTCTTCTGAGGTGCCTCTGGGTGGAGTGGAACTTCTAACCTTTCGGTTAGCAGCCAAGCGCATTAACTGTTTGCACCACCTGGGACTCCACATTGTCTAATACACCATAGGAGTCGAGAGGGCCAGGTCCTAAAAACCTTGGCAGTGTAATAAATTGCTGGATTTTATCTCCCTTCCCTGTCCCAGAGCTGTGTGAGGCCTGGGGAGAGCAGTCTTCTTTTGCTTTCTGACTCTAGGCTGTTTATCCTTAGATCCTGCAGGGCCTTGTCGACGTCCGCATCCCTCATAACGACTTCTACCGAAAGCGTAAGTAGCCCTGCGTTAAGTTTTCAGCTGGTTAAGAGTGTTGCTTTGTGGGTTGTTGTTGTTCGGTACTGTTGAGTCGGTTCTGACTCGTAGCGACCCTGTGTACAATGGGACAAAACAATGCCTGGTCCTGTGCCATCCCCAAAATCGTGGCTATGTTTGAGCCCGTTGTTGCAGCCACTGTGTCAGTCCATCTCGTTGAGGGTCTTCCTCGTTTTCGCTGACACTTTACTTTACCAGGCATGATGTCCTTCTCCAGGGACTGATCCGTCCTGATGCTTTGTGGATGGCTGGCTTTTGTTTCTTAAAGTTCTGAGACTCCAAATGTTTTCCTGGGTCCTTGGAGAGAGAACACGGTGGCCTGGACTTGGGGACCGTCCTGTGTCTGGTGGTGCCCACGGGCATAGACCAGTGTGCACTGACTTGGTTTTCCTTTTCTGAAAAGTATTTTTCGAAATCGTCAGTGAGAGATCAAGACACTCCCTTCATCAGAACATGGACAAGATCAAGGTGCCGACGCAGATCATCTGGGGGAAGCAGGACCAGGTAGGTGACACGGGCCTCTGAGGACAAATGGCCTGGAGGAAAGGCAAGTGTTCCTCTATAAACTGAGACTCGCTAACTTGTTTCTGTTGTCAGGAAGAGGCGGGATAAAGCAGGTTCAGGCACCAGAGTATACAGGGAGCGTTGACAGCGATAACGTTTGTCTTTGAAAATGAAAGGCAATCTTAACTTGTTTTTGAACATTATTTTTATAAATGCTGTATAGTCACCTGAGACAAAAAAAAAAAAAAAATCTAAAGAATACAGAAGAGTTTATAATGAAAATTTGGTCTCTTTTTACATCCCAGATCCCAATTCCCACTTCCTCGAGCCAGCTCTTTACTGCCTTGTGTATCTGTCTTACATTTTCTAAGCCAGGGGTTGACACGCTTTTTCTGTAAGGGCCAGATAGAAAATATTTTCAGTGTTGTGGGTCCTGCGGTCTCTGTTGTTTAACAACTCTGCCGCCGTAGTGCAAAAGCAACGGGAGACAGCACATCAGCAAATGGGCATGGCTGTGTTCTGATGAGCCTTTACTTACAGAAACAGGCAGCAACCCTGTTTGCCCACCCTATTCTTAGCACGCATATATATGCACAGATTAGATAGGCAAGTTTTTCAGACACACTGTATACACTGTTTTGCACCTGACTTTATTTACTTAAATACATACCTTGGAAATCATTTTACATCAGCCCATACAGATCTGCTCGTTTTATTTTTTAAAAAATATTTTATTCTGAAATGCTTTCAAACCTAAAGAAAAATTTTAAGAATAGTAGAGAGTACTCCTGTGTATTCTTTACCCAAATTCATTTTTATTAACAGCTTTATTGAGGTGTAATTTACATACCATAAAATTCTCCCAGTCTGCTGCTGTTGGCACAGCCCCATTGTAGAACTTCTGTCACCCCAAAAAGTCCCCTCCTGCCCATCTGCAGCCCATCTCCACTCCCACCCCAGCCCCACACAACTATGATCTATTTTCTGCTTCTATATTTTTGCCTTTTTAGAAATTCCGCATAAATGGGATCGTACAACATGTAGTCTTTCATATCTGGCTTTTTTTCCACTCAGCGTGGTGTTTTCAAGGTCCACTTATGTTGTTGCACGTACAATAGCTTGTGCCTTTTTATTGCTGACTGTTAGTTCATGATACGGATGTACCACATTTTATTTATTACCAGTGTTTAACATTTTGCCATGTTGGCTTTATCATTCTCATTTGTTTATCTGGAAAAAAAATACTTTCGGACCATTTGGAGAAGGCTGCTTACATATGCCCCTTTACCCCGGATATTTCGGGTGTATTTCCTATGAACAAGAATATTCCGTCGCATGTCCACAATACAGTATCACGTTCGGGAAAGTTAACATTGATACAGTGCAATCTACAATCCATAGTATTCTGGTTTCGTCATTTGCTGCAATAATGTTCTATGTGGTATCCACTCCAGGATCACAGATTAGCTGTCTCTTTGTTAAGTTTCCATGGAGAGTTGATTCCGACTCACGGTGACCCCATGTGTGCAGAGTGGAACTGCTCCATAGGGTTTTCAAGGTTGTGATCTTTTGAAAGCAGATCGCCAGTCTTTTAAGGTTCCTCTGGGTGGATTCAAACTGCCGATCTTTTGGCTGGTAGTCGAGCACTGAACCATTTGACTACTGAGGCACTCCATGTCTCTTTAGTCTCCTTTAATAGGAAGCGACTCCAAGGTCTAACTTTGTCTTTTAGGACTTTGACATATTCGAAGAGTGTTGTTAGGTGCCATTGAGTCAGTTCCAACTCATAGCAACCCTATGTACAACAGAACGAAACACTGCCTGGTCCTGTGCCATCCTCATGATCCTTGTTACGCTTGAGTCCACTGTTGCAGCCACTGTGTCAATCCATCTTGTTGAGGGTCTTCCTCTCTTTCGCTGACCCTCTACTTTACCAAGAGTACACGGCAATAACTTCATAAAATGTTGCTCAGTTTGAGTCTGTCTGCTGTTTCTCATGATTCCTAACCAGAGTATCTCATAAGCAGCAAGCCGTCATGTCCTCAGACACACAGTGTTCTTCTGCAGGTCACTGGTGATACTAGTTTTGATTGCCTGGTCAAGGTGTCATCTGATTTCTTCATTGTAGAGTTACTATTTCTCCTCTTGCCACCAGTAAGCAGTCCGAGGAGACACTTTGAGACCATGCAGATACTCTGCTCCTTATCAAACTTTCTGCCCTAGATTTAGCATTTATGGATGATTCTTGCCCAAAAAAATCTTTTACTCATTCTTTTTAAGAGCTGCATCCAGACCAGTTGCATTGAGTCGACTCTGACTCATAGTGACCCCATGTGTATCAGAGGAGAACTGTGTTCCATAGGGTTTTCAGTGGCTGATTTTTTGGAAGTAGATCGCCAGGCCTTTCTTCTGAGGTTCCTCTGGGTACGGTCAAACCTCCAACCTTCGGTTAGCAGCTAAACATGGTAACTATTTTCACCACTCAGGGATTCCACGATATCAGGGAAGTTTTCTGCCAACAAATCTTCAACAATTCTGTCTTTTCTGTTATCCCATCCTGTTCTGGTATTCCAGTCACTCGTAGGTTATTCCTCTTGATAGAGTCCCACATAATTCTTAGGGTTTCCTCATTATTTTTAATCCTTTTATCTGATTTTTCCTCAAATAAGTTGGTGTAAAGCGCTTTATCTTCAATCTCACTAATTCTGACTTCCATTGCCTCAATTCTGCTCCTATGACTTTCTACTGAGTTGTCTAATTCTGAAATTTTATTGTTAATCTTCTGGATTTCTGATTGCTGTCTCTCTATGGATTCTTGCAGCCTGTTAAATTTGTCATTATGCTCTTCTCTAATCTTTTTAATTTCCTCTGTTGTGTATTCTGCGTGTTGCTTAATTTCCTTCCTAATTTCTTGAAGAGTTCTGTATATTAATCTTGTGTATTCCTCCCCTGGAAAATTTCTAGATTCTTTATTTTTGGAGCTTGCTGAAGCTATTATGGACTGCCTCTTTATGTGATTTGATACTGACTTTGTCTCCGAGCCATCAATAAGTTATTATATTTATTTTATGTTTGCTTACTGTGTCCTAGCTTCTTGTTTTGTTTTGATGTGCCCAAATAGGCTGCTCGTATGAGCTAGTTTGATTACTGGCAGCTTTGAAGCTCTAATGTCCTGTCACCAGGTAGCTAGATCTGTTACTAGGTATGTGAGCTCAGGAGTCTGCCCGCTCCTCCTGTATGGATTCAGCTCAGGTGCCCAGGTAGATAGCCACCAAGTGTGTAGTGTAGGCTCTCACTTACAGTCCTAGACAGGCATGGGTGATTGGTGTAGGCACAAGCAATCTGGCTGCAGCAGGGGGACACACTCTGAGCAAGGTGGGGGCTGACAGCCGCCCCCAGGTGTCCAGGAGGAAGGCGTGTCCCTGTTCCCTAGAGCGCATAGGTGGATAGGTTTTGCAGCTGGACTATGAGCACCCAGTGCTGTTGGCTGTAAGGACTGGGGGGCACCTCTTATTCATGGGCCCCTATCGCAGGTGGCTAGGTGGTGTGGGTGAAGCCACCAGTCCTCAGGCCCCTGATGTGGGTAGGTGAAGACCCTGCTTAATGGGCAGAGCAGTGGCAAATGTCAGGAACCTGCCACTTCACAGTTGAAACAGCTGAAGTTAGACTGCAGGTATATACCTTGTACTGCGGTAATGAGGGCCTACACTGTTGAAATGGGCCCACACAAGTCTATGCAGGGGGAAAGGCACTAAAGGTCCATGGATCCCTTACGCCTGTGCCTAGGCAAAGGAGCTGTGCCTACCCTGAGTTCCTGGCTTAGGGGAGCCGACAGATTATTTTTTTCCCCCGTTTATTAATCTGTTCACTTTCCAAGGCTGGGAGAATAGCTCAGGGCATGTGACAGATCCTCCTTCCAGCCCAGGGGACTTGGCAATTGCTGAAGCCGGTCCAGGACCCAGTGCAGAGCAGGGAGCAGGGAGGTAAATGGGAGAGAGGTTTTCCCCTAAGGGTTGTGTTTTTGATCCGCGCGGTAGGCTGGATGCAAGTACTTGTCTTGCACCTATCAAGGGCTGCTTCTCACTGGTTCTGGGTGGCCGAGTAGACTCTCTGTTGCTGGGTCTCCCCCAGTGCGGAAAATGCCTCCCGAGCAGCACTGCTTGCCTGCCTCACTGCTCACCCGTGAGCTGATCAGGCCTGAAGGGCTCAGGCTCTTGCCAGGTCAGGTCTGGCAACTCCTCGCTGCTTCCGAACCATCTCTCCCTCCCCCTGCCACTCAGTTCGGTTCCTCAACTTCGCCTTTGAGGTTCAGGGCTCCTAGATTGTCATACACAATCGATTCACTTGTTTTTTCGGGTCTTTGTTGTAAGAGGGTCCACCGGAAGCGTCTAACTACTCCGCCATCTTGGCCCCATCACCACCCAGGGACTCCAGAGAGCTGCATAGTATTCCAGTATATGATTCTGCCATAATTAACTTTAATTAGTATCTTACTGATGGTCATTTGGGTTGTTTCCAGTTTTTTGCTATAAACAGTACTTCAGTGACCATCATTATCCATGTGTGTTTATGGAGCATATAAGCATATTTGAAGGGTAAACTCCTAGACATGGAATCACTGGATCAAAGGGCATGTACATTTTAAAATGTAATAGGTTTTGTCAGCTGGCCCTCCAGAGGGATCCTGATTTACACCCCAGCAGCTCCTTCATTTGCAGCTGTTCTTTAGAATCCACATCTAACTCAGAGTTCTTCCTGAAGCTTAAAAGCAAGATGAGGCAATAAGACGTGAAGCCTTTATAAGGCCCACAGGCAAACAGAGTTACATTGGCTGATAAAGGGTGTCCAGGAGTCTTGTGCTACTGAACATTGTGAGAAAAGGAAATTAGAGAAAAGCTCTCCCCATTGAGACAATTCCCCAAAGGACTCCAGGGTGAAAGCCACTGCTGTGGGCCCTGCCTGGGCTGCTGATCATCACTGCATCTGCTGATGGAGGCCCTGGTGGGGAGTCAGGTCTGGGGCCACACACGCCCACTACACCTGCTGACGGAGGCCCTGGCGGGGAGACAGGCTGGGGCCACACACGCCCATTGCACCTGCTGATGGAGGCCCCGGCGGGAGTCAGCCTGGGGCCACACACGTCCACCGCACCTGCTGACGGAGGCCCCGGCAGGGAGTCAGCCTGGGGCCACACATGCCCACTGCACCTGCTGACAGAGGCCCCACTGTGTGGGGCAGCCCTGGCAGGCAGAGACACCAGGCCTGGGCCCCGTGTGTGTGTGTGTTTGCACACGTGTGTGTGTGTGTGTGTGCACACGTGTGCATGTGTAGGGCAGGGTAGTCTGCCTCCGCATGCAGCCATCTGAGATCTGGCCGAGGATGCCCAGAGCAGAGGCGTGGACGTAGAGAAGAATGCGGTCTCATCTGGCCCCTCCTGCAGCAGCCAAGGGCCTGAAAGAAGCTTTGTGTGCGTCTAATTCAGAGAAGCCTGACCCAGGCTAGGCCAGCAGGGAGTTATTCAATCAGGATCAGAACAATGAGGGCCTTTCTTCATTATCAAAATCCCAAAGGTGATTTGGGGCTGTCCGGGACCTACAGGCGAGAACCCATCGCCCTGTGGAGACAGTGCAGTGGTGAGAGCACCAGTAGCCTTGGCGGCCAGAAGTCTGGGTTTCCAGCCCAGCCTTTGCCCTTTATCTGCCTCGTGACCTTGAGCAGTCACCCAGCCCCTCCAAAAATCACAGAGTTACTGTGGGACTCAAATGAGATAATATTCATGGAAGTAACTTTTCTCTGGTTTTTAGAAAAATAAATTCTCACACATGTCCACGCCTCTGATAACTGGCCTGAGCCCATGGTCCTGATTTCCTCAAAGACTCTGAAGTCCATTTGGTTCCAGAGAAAGGGCCTAACGTTCCGTGGGCCTGCTCTGAACGTGATCAGATCTGAGGTCTTCTGTGGACCATCCCCAAGGCCGAGGCCAGTCAGCAGAGGCTTCTGGGGGACCTTCGTTTCATGGCCTTTTGCTTCCCAAGCTGCTGGCTCTTTTCCTGCCCCGTCCTCAGTGTTTGGCGTCACAGCAGCCACCCCTGCCGGCCTTTCACCCTCCCTCTTTGGCGCCCTGTAGGCTGGCCACCATACCGCACAACTGCGGAGGGCCAGCGGGCATTGTCATCTGTATGAAAGATGCTCCTGGAGTTGCGTGGTTGATGAGAGTAAGGCTCAGAAACAGAAAGGCCGCGAGTTTGTTGGAGATTTCTCTTTTGCCTTTAAGAACAGAGGGGAGGCGCCCTCTTGTCTGGGATGAACTGAAGGTGAGGTTATTAACGGGTGCGGTGCGGGGAGTGAATGTGAATCCAGCTCCAAGGAAAGGCAGTTTGGGAGAAAAATTACATTGCAGTGGAGAGACAGCAGGGCAACCCAAATGCAAATGACATTTGAATGAATTGTTTCAACAGTGTCAGCCCTCAGAAAGCAGTGGGTTTCACGTTGGAAAAGCATTCCCCATTACTTACATACTTTCAGGGCTGGGGCTTACAAAGCTCTGGGACCCCCTAAAGGATCTTCAGGGAGGTACCCCACACTCTGTGATGATCAGCTTCACCTCTTGTGTCTTCCCCAGGTGCCTGTCCCACAGCTTGGGCCTTGGTTCCTCCTGCTCCAGCTGGAGGGTCCATTCTCTTGGCTAAAGTGGATCCAGCCACTCTCCTTAACACAGCCTCGCGGTGCCCCACTGCCCTCAGATCGAGGCCTGACCCGCGCCCCCCTCCCCATGGCTGGAGTAGCTGGCCCCCTCCTCTCTGTCCCCTCCTCTCTCCACCATGTCTCAGTCACCCAGGCTCCTTGCTGTCCCCTGCAGTAGCCATGACCTCCCACCCTGGTGCTATTTCCTCTCCCGTGGGTCCACAGGACTCCGGAATGATGTCTCCCCTCCTCCCTGCTCCTCCTTGCTCGCTCTCAGCTCTCTGTGCTGCGTTCGTCTGTTGCCCTGTCTGGCTTCCCTGCCTGACCACAACCTCCCCACAGTCAGGGACTGTGTTTTTCACCTCAGTGTTGCTGGTAGCAGCACAACTCCTGGTAACTAGTTGCTGAATAAACCATGAAGCATTCCAGTCCCTTCCCTCAGACAGCCCCAAGCCCCAACCTTGACATGACCTGGTCTTAGAATTCCCCTGGGCAGGCTTCTATGGAAGTTGTGTCCTCAGAGTGCACTTAGGTATCCGAAACTCTGTGTACAATCTAGTTTCCCCTCTTGCCCCGCAGGTGCTCGATGTGGCTGGGGCAGACATGCTGGCCAAGTCAATCGCCAACTGCCAGGTGGAACTTCTGGAGAACTGTGGGCACTCAGTGGTGATGGAGAGACCCCGGAAGACAGCCAAGCTCATCATCGACTTTTTAGCATCCGTACACAACACAGACAACAACAAGAAGCTGGACTGAGCCCCTGACTGCAGCCTGCATTCTGCACATGCATCCGCTCCCATCTCCAGAATCTGACGCGGCCACCACTTCTCAGGGATCCTGCCCCAGATGTGGTCGGAGCACCAGCATCCCTGAAGAAGCTAGGCTCCCCTCCCTGGTACCTAGAGTTCCGCAGAGCTTCAGGGGCCCCGAGGAAATCTCCAAGATGTTTTTCACAAATGGAAACTCATGTAGAACAGAAAAAGAAAACCCAGCCATAAAAATCTACCGCGAAGTCTTCAAGTTCCTGCCACAGACAGGCTTGTGCAAAGCAGCCACCTTGGGCCGTGATCCCCGAGGACACTTACCTTCTGACATTCTTCACGGACTCATACCTGAGGTATCTGTCTCTTCAGTGCCCCCCTGCCTGGCCAATGACTGTTCTAGAAGCATTAGTGTGCGTGTTCACTGAGCCCCTCACATTTATGTCTGATTTCAGCTTTACATAGAGACTCACACGTGAACGCAGCCTGTCAGCTGCAGGCCCGGGGGGAGGATGGCAGAGCGTAGGAGACGTTTCCACGCCCCTCGGCCAGCCCTCGGAGCTGCCGGAGCAGTGGGAACCACGGGTGGTTGGTGTGTTTGTCACCCACGCGTCCCATCTGTCACCAGTGCGGCCGGAGCAGTCACGCGGTGCGAAGCACACCTCGCAGGGGGTGGGGGAAGTTTCCTGGAATAATTTATCATTTTAAAAATAGGATAATAAAGCAATAATGTTCTAGACATCGATCTGCATAATCACAGTGGGGTTCTGTACACAAGCAGCTCGTGGGCCTCTTTTCTATTTTTGCTGTGCTACCGAAAACCCTTGGATGTAAACTGCTAGCTTGTTAATGAATTCTGTGAATTCTCTGAACAGTAATGTGATGGAAAGTAAGTCCAAACAGCTGTAAAATTGACCACAATGACCTGAAATAAATTTACTAAGTCTAGATCAGCTCCATGCAGATGGTTTCTATTTGGAAGCTTCTAATTAACTGCAATGGTGGCAGATTTGCTGTTAAAGTTAAAATGTGTTTTTTAAAGTAAGGCTAGATCTACAGGCAGTGGAAGTCTTGGCTGGGGTGATTTATGAATTTCCTTTTAAAAAATCATGTTTGCAGTTTGTATTCAATTGAAAAATGCATACAAAAGCAAAGGGCAGCCACTCCTGATATCCACTTTCAGCCAAAGATTAGACAGGTCTCTAAAACAAATCATAACACACGTGAGGAACGTGCTCCTTAGAACAATCAAGTATATGAGACCAAACAGGCAACTCCTGCCCGAAAGCAAAGACGGGAAGGCAGGAAGGGGCAGGAAACCTGGATGAATGGAAATGGGGATCTCAGGGTGGAAAGGGGGAGAGTGCTGATACATTGTGGGGATTGCAACCAATGCCACGAAACAACTTGTGTGTAAATTATTGAATGGGAAACTAATTTGCTCTGTAAACTTCACCTAAAGCACAATAAAGTGTTTAAAAACAGAACCAAAGGGCAAGAGTCATCCAGCTGTTCCTTATGACCCTCTTCTGTGCATTTAGTTACTGCTTGTGCCCTAACCTCCCCAGGAGCCGAATTCCTTCTAATCCTGATACAGAGATGCTACAGCCAAGTAGTTCTGGAAATAGAGTGAGATGAACTTTATCGTTTTAAAATGGAATTCTGGGCTCAATCTGAATAATTTATACGTGTGGAACACAGATCTTAAAAAACAAAAAGATGGAAATATATCAGACTCGTGGGATGCAGCTAAAGCAGTGCTCAGAGGGAAATGTATAGGCCTAAATACATAAATACAAAAGAAAAAAGGCTGAAAGTCAGTAAGTTTCTATCTCAAGAAGTAGTAAATGAAACCTAAAGGAAGTAATATAGGTAAGTGCAAAAATCAGTGAAACAGAAAAGAAAGTAGGTCTGAGACTTGTTCCAGTGTCCTCTATTCACAAGAAGTCTGAGCTGGGTGAGGTTCTGGCAGAGAAGGTCCATCTTTGTGGGTTTGGGTGATGAGAGGTGGTCTCCTCAGGACCACTGAAGAAGCCGCAGACTGGGATAAGTACCCCAGACTAGAAACCCTCCTAGGGGAAGGAGTTACTATGTTCTGGATTGTATAACAGCCAAGGAGCACGTGAAAAGAAGGCCCTTCCCCGTCCCCACAGAGGGGCTATTCAGGCAGGGTGTGTGCTGCCCACCCCAGCTCTGGAAGTCAGTGGGCAGGTCTGCAGTGGGACACAGCTCCCACCTCCTCCGCTGTCACCAGAAAGCACTGGAGTCATGAGCAGAGAATATGGAAGAGTTGTTTTGGGTAAACCTTTAAAGTGGATTGTCAAGGTTCTCCCTTGGCTCTGCACTTCCGGCCCGTGCCAGGAAGACTTGAAAGCAGAAAAGCACAGCTCCCCCTTGCTCCTCATTTCCTGCCTTTATGATTATGACCAGCCTGCTGGTTACTGCCAGCTAGCTGCCCTCCCTCCGCAATTCACACACACCTTGCTGGGCCCTGTGCGGTGTGCCTTTAATGATAGGCTTAGGCCTCCCTCCCTCCCTCCCTGAAAGACTTCCAGGAGCTTCCAAAATAACAAGGGAAAGCCCCAGGAATCATGACTGGGTTCTTGACCTCACTGTCTGGAGTTGAGGGCTCCTAGGAGGATGGACCCACCCAGGCAGGTATTGAAGAGACCAAGGGACAAGTAGTGGTTAGAACTCAGTTTGCTGTCAGTCTGGACCTCCTGTCCAGGACACAGGTGACCAGGAGTGACAGCTTAGCTGCCTCGTTGAGCAGGGCCACCTGTGCTGTAAGTCTGTGCCTTCCACTTGAGCCCCAGTGAGTATCCCCCATCCCAGGGAACCCTACTTGTTGGTTTGCCTGGTGGAAGGTCCCAGAAAATTCTGGAATTGGAATGTATGTCAGGCTGGGCTGGAGAACTGAATCACACACGTGTGTGCCAGGTGCTCGCCTGTGCTTTCCACGCATCACCTCACCAAGCTTTCTCACAGCCCTAGGAGATAAGAGCAGTCCTGTGCCCATTTTACAGCCACGGAAACCAAGGCATGGAAAGGTGAAGTGTCTTGCCCAAGATCACACAGCTGACAAGTAGAGGGGAGCTTCTCTGTTTATAATTGAAGGTGACGTGCTTTCACCAGTTCAGGTAGGCACTCTCTTGCCCATCCTACCAGCTGAGCCTGAAGCACTGCTGGCAGGACAGACAGCCCTCTAGGATCACCAGGACCAGGCCGTTGTGCAGCAGCCTCAGCCATATGTCCCCAAGGCCATGCCTCTTGTCTTGGGCTCCTGCTGGGCAAGGCAACCCAGTCATTCATTCTGCAAATACTTAAGGACCTCCCATGTCCAGGCAGGAAACAGAGGTCACCTGGATCCCAGCATCATCCTGCTAAGGGGGCATCAGGGGACAGCCTGCCCTCTTCTTTCCCCACACTGTGTGTGGCTCATTCCCCACACTGAGACCCCCACACCTCCTCCCATGCTCTGGAAATTATAATGCTGTTTGTCCGAAGCAGTTTTCCTGGGGAGAAGTCTCAGCTGGATCTCATTGCCCCTCAGGGGGCCAGGCGTGGAAAGCACACTTGCAGAGATGTGGCCTTTGAAGGGGAGGGTCAGCACCCTGGACTTCTTACTGGCCAAGTGCTTTCCCACGGCCTTTAGGCACATTTGGGGTTTAATTAAACATAAATGCCGGGTTTAGGCCCCTTGTATACTTTCCAAGCCCTAGATATCGATCTGGAGATAACCGTGGATCGGTTGGTTAATGACGTCTTTCTAAAATGACCAACGCAGACTTAACACCCACAGGTGCCTGTGTTCTACTCGGCGGATTTCCTTGTATCAAGTTAGGAAACCTTTTATGAAAAATGGCAGTTCAGTGGGTCTGCTTCAGAAATGGGTTGGCTGAAATACACTTCGGCCAGATTTGTGAGCATCTTTGTTTTTAACTCTCTTGATGTCTTTCCATCTTTGTTAGTCTCTGTTCTGTCTCTCATGCCATACCCGGGCATATGCCCCCCAACAATGGGAAGCTGCACCCAGGCATACGCACCCCCAACAGTGGGAGGCCTCACCCAGGCATACTCCCCCCAACAGTGGGAAGCCACACCGAGGCATACCCCCCCCAACAATGGGAAGCTGCACCCAGGCATGCTCCCCCCTAACAATGGGAGGCCTCACCCAGGCATACTCCCCCCAACAGTGGGAAGCCACACCGAGGCATACCCCCCCCAACAATGGGAAGCCTCACCCAGGCATGCTCCCCCCTAACAATGGGAAGCCTC